TACGATTATCACGATATGGTTCAGATTCTGCAATATATTGGGTCATCCAGAGTTAGCTCCCTTTGAGTTATGTGCCGTTGATTTCCATAGCAACAAAATGTGCTCTAAAAGTGCCAAATATACTTATATTTCTGTTGGTTTTATGTAACATTTTACAAGTGGACGCATCTTTATCGGAGGCTCCAAAAGTACCAAATATTCTACTAAATGCTTTAAGTCTTGTGGGCTTGAATGGTTTCATATGTGACATTTTGGAGGAATCATGTGGGCTCAAATGGACCAATTTTTATTTGGGCTTGTTAGTGAGTGAGTTGGGTTTTACGCTGCTTTTAGCAATATTCCAGCAATATTACGGCGGGGGACACCAGAAATGGGCTTCACACATTGTGTCCATATGGGGAATCGAACCCGGACCTTCGGCCTGACGAGCGAACGCTTTAACCACTAGGCTACCCCACCGCCCTACTTATTAGTAGTGCTTTTGGCTCTGACCCACCATTTATCAATTCAAGTTATTTTATTAATTTTGATTGTTTCATAATGGGACATATGTTATCAATATATGATAAAGGCCTAAGTCTTATAAATTTTGTAGGACTGTATAATGACATTCCAGTCAAGCGTCTTAGTTATTGGAGGTCATATGAGGTTTTAAGCTCAAGTAGTCAACCTAAATGATTTGTCAAATTTAGCAATAGTTCATGTTAACACATGTCTATATTTAACAGTTGTGTTATATTTGGGATTACACTTTCTTAGTAAAGTACAAATTCTAGTACTTTTTGAGTTGAGCCCCATCCGGGATTCGAACTCAAACCCTCAGAGTCAGGCACCCAATCGCCAGCACACAAAGTCAGCCGCCTAACCCACTCAGCTACCGCGACTTCCACATGTCTATATTTGGAGTTGAATCTGAATGAATAACTGACATGCAGTAATAATAATTACATCCTGCATTAAAGTGCATTCTGCTGAAGAAAACAACACTGATCATGAAAATCATTTTATACTGTTACCTTTATCATTATGTTCTCAAAACTTTGTTGCAATACTTCAATTAAACATTTCACATTAAGGCTCTATATCATTTTATTTATCTGTAAACCACTGGCACACAGCCATACACAATGGGGATGGGGAGCTGAAAGTATGGTGTAACAGCAACTAAGAAGATGATGTCACAAAGAGAGCTATTATGAATTTATGATGTATGCACTTGGGCACAAACCTTCCAGTCAATATATCACAATATATATTGCAATATCTCTTAATTTATTGCAATATATCGCAATATGAGAATCAGGGCAATATCCAGCCCTAGCTGAAGCACTGCAGTAATTATTAGATGACGGCTAGCACAGGTAAACAGATCTCTCAGGTTCAATGCTTTGTAAGCCATACAAAAGTAAAGGCCCAGTATCATCTTTGGATAGAACAAACAGATCTTGTCACAGATCCTGAAGACCTTCAACACCTGGGTAACGGCAGCATAAATGAAGGGTTACCTCGAATCACATCAAAGTAAGTGTAGAGTGGTTTCAGAATGTACTTCAATACATTTTTTCTGAAATCACCCGATGAAAGAGCATAGTGATGGTAGTCTACGTTTTTGCTGGCTCACTTCATCTCTTTGACAACTCCCATGAAAATATGGTTTAATGTCGTAAATTCTTTGTTATGCAGATATATTTAAACTTCTAATAGAGGGGAAGAGATGTGCCTATTTATAGCTGAACAAATGGAAGTCATAGCAGACTTTGAATACCCCTCTTCAGTTTCAGTCTGGACTTTCTTATAAAATCTTCTCAAAGTGGAGTTTTGTTCTCGAACAGGTTGCATCTCAAAATCTACAGGGACGTTGTTACACTGGAGCCAATCTGAATTTATGTGTTTTTGTTAGATTCTATGGATTGTTGGTAAGGAAACACATTCATAATAATGTAACAAGTTATCTTGCACATTAAGAAAAGTCTTATGTCTTGATTCCTTGTTTAATCACCCTTAAATATTTTGTTTGCACATGTGCTTAGTTCCAGTGATTTTTCCTTTTGTGTCTTAGCCAATTCCGTTACGAATCAACAATTCTCAGTGATATCATATTGTCAAATGTAGGTAACAATACAGTCTCCAGAATGCTGAGTAACATTTCATCATCACTGTCATCAAAGTTAAATTTGTGTTTGAAAATGCAAACCTCTAAAAAAAAGTAGCTATGCACTGTAAAAAATAGAAAAATTAGTAAAAATAATTCTGCAAAAGTAGAAAAATTGCAAAGTCATACAAAATGAATATCAAACATGAATTTTTCATGTCTGCATGCATCGAGAGTTATATGTTCAGGTAGAATAAGTACAGGATATGTGAAAATGCAACCATGTGGTAGAGTGGCAGCCAAACACCAACATGAAATGACCATGCAACATGAATTATTGGGCTATGCAAACAATGAGTTTTTGTTTGTCAGTCTTCATGAATGTACAGCAAGTGAAAGCGAAAACATGCCACAATTGTCACTGCAGACCATGACCATGGACCCTTTATCAGACTTCAGGGGGCAACACATGACCTACCCAGATCCCATCAACCATGTGTTACAACTGTAGTGCAGGACAGGTTTATGTGGTTCGTTACTTTCGTGATAGACTCACCATGGCCACCTCGAGAAGCTACAGCAATACGCAGGATTTCAGCCCAGACAGTGGGAACCGTCAACGTGCCACAGGTATTCGGGAGACAACCAGTTACAGGCATTGTTCTGACTGACAGCATCGCCGGCTGCAACATTAGTAGTGTCATGGCGACATGTTTAGTTTAGTAACAAGTCTTGTTTCTCGTAAATATGGAAGACGTCATGTTAAAAGACATCATGGTGAACATTAAGTTTGAAATTGCATACCGAAAGAGGACAGATTTGGTGGCAAGAGTATAATGATGTGGGCTCCCGTCTCCAAAATCCATTTAAAAGACTAATGGTACAAGTCCAGGGTGAGGCTCTTGAGAGGCATATAGAAGTTGGTATTCAAGTATAAGAGAAAATATTATGGATGCCAACTTCTTCTTTATTCTATACATAATAGTCTAGGGTAATTTCTTTATTCTATACACATAAGTCCAGGGTAATTTAATGGCACAACATTACACAAATGAAATTCTTCTGCCACAAATCTTTCCCATTATGCAACAAGCAAACATCACCCAAGTACTTTCACAAATCTTTCCCATTATGCAACAAGCTAACATCACCCAAGTACTGCATGGCCCTCAGGGTCTCCAGATCTCCAGATCTAAACCCCATCGAACATTTGTTGGATGCTCTTGATCAATGTCAGCAACAGCCACAGGACCTCCAACTGTTGGCACAGGCACTGCAGTAAGAGTGGATGAACATTCCCAAGGCAACAATTAGTAATCTGATTGGTTCCATGGGGCCATGATGTCAGTCCGTTCTTGACTCATATGGGGACCATAAGATACTGAGGACAGATTACCTTCACCTTAACATTCGATTTATTCATGTGTACCATGATGAACCTCGGTCAGTGAAAATGACTTGTGACGAGTTTAAACAATTTATCATAACATCCCCCTCAAGACAGAAATTAGGTTTTCATTTAGAAGAAATCAAAATAGATCCTGATGTCTGAAACTTGATCGGTAATATTTTTTACAGTCTTATACTTACAACAGAACAGAGACAAAACAAAAGTACCTAAATCGAACGTGTGCTTCTAAATTATAGTCAGATGTAATTATGTGCAATGTATGAATTGTGGGTTTTTTTCCATTTTACCAAGCTCAGAATAGTACAGGTTTCAAATTTGAGATGAAGAAATAAACTAATAAACATACCAAAAAATCTTGGAAAGATTATGGAATCTAATCCCACTTTCCAACATGTTGCAACCAATCAGATTTCAGCACACATTCCTATGCCTCCATCTGTTCTGCAGAGTGTGCTATCTTACAGATAAGCTTCTTGTGCACTTGATACACCACTAAATAAATCTGAAGAAAGTATTTTTTTCATGGGATATGCAGCATGACCCCCATTGTATATATTGTCCACCAGCTGCAGACAGAACTTGGAAGAGTGTTCCTACTTGAAACACAACGTTTGTGCTGATTAGTTTGATGTGTGGCTGAAACAAAGAAGTGGTCTATGTTGGGACTGTTTCCCAAGTTTCATATATACTAATCCTGATTGGTTAATTGATACCCTGAAGCAATTAGTGGTGGTCCGATTAATTGAAATAATCGAAGATTGGTCGTAGTGACTAAACGACCAAGCAATCGATCATAATTTCTCATAATTGAACACAACCAACTTTGGAACACTTGTTTTCATTAACAATATTTTTCACATGGTTGGTTTTGTCTGTTACATTTTGTAAGCACTACAAGCTCATTTCAAGTCATGATTGAATTTATCTTAAAGGCTCCAAGAAATTTATGTTCCTAACATACTAGTCATCCTTTAAAGATGTGAAATTTTGCCAAAAAGCCCCAAAAGAACTACATGTTTTTTCCTTATTTTTATGTGCATTAACAAATTTCATAAATGACGCTAACCAATTATTTTCGATGATTGATCAGTTGTAATGAACCAATCATCAATTATGAGATTTTAACCAATTCCCAACACTAGTAGCAGTAGGAACCAGTGTCGTTCATATACACTCAATAAACAAGTATAATGATTGAGGTGAACATAAAACTTGTAAAACTGGAAACACTTCTTATCTCTATCATCATACGAACATGTGAACAAAGCTTGTTAGTTTCTACCGCAGGTGAGTTCTGTGGCTAGCACTGATCAATGTTACACATTATTCCTTCTTGTATGCTGTGTTTCACTTTTTCTGTGGTACTTGCTCATGCAATACTACTAAAGTTGATGTAAACCATTTTAGCCAGAAACATAATGTTCTTGATGGAAATTCTAAACAAAAGGAACCGGTGTAATTTTACAAACATTCAATCATTGCTAACTTGCATTTCAGACAAAAGCAAATGTATACCTGCGGAGTCCTGAGACTACTCGAGTAGAAACTAACGGTAGAAAATCACTTCCAGCAAAAGGACTAGCATGGTAAGATTATATCTTTCTACGTTGCCACATAGTTTACTGTCAAGGTGAGAGCAGCCCATGCCCATGATCATATATACACAACCATATGTATGCTGTGTATAACCATATGTATACTGTGTAAAGCCCTCAGCCCTGGTTGCTAATGTTTATCATGTTTAGTCCTTACTTCATTATGTATATAAAATACTACATCATATCCCTTCAGTGAATTTACCTTTGAACAATCACAAATTAAAAACACTAATAGTCATATTGATTTCCCATTCATTTCAATTTGAATTGTAACTGATAGAAGACATACTGGCTGGAGACACAGTGCCCTGCAATATTTTGTTCTCTTTCCAAGACAGATAATGAAATTACATCAGTGTTTAAGGTATAGTATACTGTAGCACAGTGTTCTTTAACATTCATGGTGTCTTTTTCTCTCTTTGTACTTAGTAGCTTGAACAAATGCTCACCTGCAGAAAGACCCAAGTGTGGTTATGTCATAGCCTGTTTAATGGTTGTCAGCATCTCAGAACCACAGGACACATGAGACTAGATAAAGCAATATTCTGGATATATCATGGCAGTGATACAAGATGTTCTGTTTAGTTCAGTATAACAGCAGAAATTGAAGTTGGTAATGACAGTTGCAACTTGGCAGCAAATAGTGTAGTCATGGCAATGCCAGCAAGCAGCTGACAGCTGGGGGTTAAAGTCTAGGTTTTTTACCAAACATCTCTCATCAAGTCTGTAATCTCTGATCTTATGGTAGCAGGGGTGGAAATAACTTTAAAATTGCTAGTGTACTCTGGTACAGTGGCACATGTAAAATCACTTTTCTTGTTGATTTTTTAAATAAACAACATAATTAACATGGAAAGTCAACTGGACACCGGTACAGTGTGATATGCAAATTTGCTTGCCTGACAGAAAAAAACACTGGACTGGGGCGTCGGGCAATGGGTTATTTCCACCCCTGGGTAGTCTCCAACTTAGATCTATTACTTTGGCAGGAAAGCATACCAGCAGCGACAGCAACTCGTCCAGCCCATTTCCTCGCCTCAAGACCCTGTGATCACTGCACTAGCCCTTGATGAAGACATTCAGCAGAGCCAGCTCGGTATGTATACTCGACTATCTATTATAACTACATCAGTCATCCAAGAAATATCATAATGAGGGAATATGAATAGGATCTTTGATCAGGTTGTATAATTAATATTTGATTCAAGTAAGCATCTAGAGGTATCATCACCAGCATTATCATTAACATCAGGCATCTGTGTGTCCTCTCATGGGGACAGGCATGGATATCAGTCTCTTGCCAGTGTTAATGATCTGCATTCCTGTTCTGTTGTAAAAATCTCTATTACATATAACCTCACCTACATGGTAGATGTGCATCTGTTGCAAAGAACCATTTTCAGTAACAGTGGAGAAGTGGTAACAGCAAGTTCCATTCTAAAATTGAATAAAAAATGAAAAAATATTAGCACAACCAGTGTAACCTGTACTGAGCTCTTGCCATATTATAACCGTGCTGTAACCGGTGAAGCATCTTGCAACAGTTTAGCTATCAACATAGGTACATATATGACAAGTGTTGTATTTTATTGTGAAGAACTGACATGTAGTTATAAGAATAATTAGGTATGGAGGCTATTTTCCCAATATCAAATTGGGTTGGGATGTTATGAATAAGAATCAAGGTATCCTTTTAGAATCTGTGAAATGTAACAGATTAATGGGATACCGAGATTCCATTACTATGTGGACAAACACCTAGAACCTGACAGTTCAAACCTTAGTTTTGAATTCAGATTGCAACTGTAATTGATTCATCATCATTGACTTCAAACTCAAGGTCAAACATCTCTGGCCTCAGTGTATATTTAGTTTGAATACTCCGACCTAAGGTTTGCCTTATTGCTTCTACATAAAAGATATTCTGGTAGCAGTGACAGATGAAAGATTGGTGATGCTGCTTGACACGCATGCAGTGTACCTCCATTTCCGCTTGTCACAAAGATAGCAAAACAGAAGAGAAGGTCCAAGATGCAGAGACAGAGAGCTTCATTGCTTATTGTGAATGTCAGCTAATTGGCTTTCCGACTAGTCTCTTTGCTTTTCACGATCTGTATAAGCTGGGTCAATACCGTGCCTGCTTCTCCTGACTTGTGTCTTCTGTCGGGAGTCTATCTTCCTCATCCCCTTTTGTCTAGGGCTTAAGATTCATTCATGCAACTGATTCACAGAAATTGATTGATATAGAGCCACATAGTTTAATCAGTGATGTATCATCACACACAAAAATATTTCTGGAAAATCTGGTGATATTTGTTTTTGGTTTTTTTTATTTCAGTGTTATGTCTACCAATTCAAGATAGAGAAGACAATGAAAATATAGGTTTAATTGTGGTAAGTGTCTTTAGACTTAGATTTTAATGTGTCTCTTTGGGCAGTACCCTTTTTCCACACAAATATGTTGTATACAAACAACACTGTATTTGGTACAGAGTCTCTTTCATTTGCTGTGTCAAATTTTGTTTTATTCTTTACTGAGGATTATCGAGTAAAATGATGCACCATCACTTTCCACAACATAAAGTATTGATTGGCGAAGCATGTGATAGGTGCATTGTGCAATAATTTCAAAGTTGAGGAACCTCTTAACCTCTAGTCCTATCTGACTGGGTTTAAAAAGAATTTTCAAACCATGTAATGGATGTGTCAGTTTTGTAATATGTTTGGGTCTGCTTACAATATTCAACTCATTTCATTTTTTAATCATGTTAATGACATTACACACTGTGTTCCAAAATTCTATCACAAGGCATTAGAAGGCAGTCAGCCTCTTTGAGTAGTTTATATTAAATTTATTGACATTATATTTTATTAGATTATAAGAGTTGTCAGGCTATACCAATGTCTCAGTGCTGTTCTAAGGCACAAATCGTTATGTTTGCACTGACACGAATGGTGTTATACAAACTGTTTCCCCTCAGACAGTATATATCAACATCATATGGTTAAGTGGCACAACTTCTCAACAGGCCAATATAACATACACTGTGAAGTGATAGTGGTCATTGATTTGGGTTAGACATTCCTACAGTCATGAAGAGCAGCTCGGGCAAAATTCATACAGCATTGATTGAAAATTTGAGCAGCCCCAGATCCTCAATAAGGTTGAAGGATTGTTAGTTCCTATAGCAACAAACCTGTGCAGGAAAGAAGCAATTGTTCTTCAAAATGATTTTCCTGGATCAAAACTGATTCCATTTATAGTTGGATGTTGATAAAAGAGAAATTGATTTAGGCATGTTAGGTAGCCAGTTTATCATTTGGTTCACTCTCAGTGCAATGTCTCTCAACATTTACCAGCAAGACATTAATCTCCACATATGTATTACGTTATGAATTATGCTCATTTGATTCCATGTCACATCTTAACATTTTCAATTTGATAAGGAAACTGTCTTTTGAATTTGATATCTGACAAAATCACATCCTTGTAATACATACCACTTACAGAAGGCCACAAGGAAATATCAGGTTCATTCAGGAAGTTAATCATGACACATACATGGCTGGCTCGATTCCTTGTTCATCCAAAGTATCTTGGCTGCTTCTGTGGTTTTGTGGACAGAGCAAATGGTTAGTGGTTCAACTCCAAGCCATGCCATTTCAAAGACATTAAAAGATGCTTCTTACCCTACGTAGCACTCAGTGTCAAGATTTATAAAACAAGGACTGGTTGTTTGGAGTCAGTACATTTAATCTAACTGGAGTATGCACATTTAACTGAGGAATTGTATATAAGTGGGTTAGCACTATATTTAATCAAATATGTGTTTACAGTTGGGTTTCTTTTGTGCAATCACATATTGAAATGACTTTTGAAATATCTACATTTCTGGGATTGATGGTCTACAACAGAATCATCAGACATTTGTATGTTAATGTGACCATGTGCTTCATTTCTCTCTATGTGACACTGACAAGGCAAATCCCTAATAGTGTTTTTTTTAACGAGTAATAACAGAGTTATATTCACCCATAGTGTGTGTTTGCATGCATATGACATTTAAGTCCATTATAAAAAGATTCTTTAACTTATGATTGGTTTGCTGAAAAGTTCAGAACATGGCCATGATGGACTGTATTAATGGAATTGGTTGCTAATAATGTTTTGACATAATCCTTCCAAGCTTCTCATGCTTGATGCTGGGAGTGCCTACATCACGCTGATGCAGAAGTCATACTCCTTGTGGTGCAAAACAGCCTCCATATCTTTATCATTTGCATAATTGCCAGACATTTCATTAAATTTGGGAAGAAGCGGAAATAGGGAGGGTGACAGAGTATGATGGAAGTTCAATATGTTCAAAGCCACAGTCATGTAACCATGGTGACAACAGACGTGTGCACTTATGCCTTTAGTGTGTGTTTCATTATGCTTAGCCAAGACTCATATAAGGTTCAAATCTTTCAATAAAATCAGCTGTGAACATAAAACCTACAGAATGTCTGGTCAGTAGTTTGGCTAGGTACCCAGTATGCTGAAACTATTGTCAGGTATTATTCAGAATGATTTCATCTCAAGAGAGATGCTTTCTGTTTCAGCTGTGTGATGTCTGTCAAGTCTTCAGTCATCCATTAACATATTGTATATTTATCAACCTTTTTCTTAGTGGTGGTAGTTGAAGATCTTCCTGATCTATGATCATTTTCAAGGTTGTCTCTTTGCCTCTTAAAGCATATCTTCTACCTGGTAATAGTGGTAAATGAGTAGCTTCATCCCCTGGAGCTGATACAATGTGTGCACAAATGGTTGTTGCTGTTAGCCTCTTAAGATTGAGATACTTGATAACAGTGCAGAAACCAATTTAATACCTGCTGAAATATTCTGCTTGGTTGTGTCTTTTATTCAAATGCAGCCTTGGCCGTGTATTGATACTATTACATGCAAATGATTTACTATACATCCTTCATAGTTAGGCTCAGAACTTTTCAAGCACCTCTTGGATGACAGCTTCCTTGTTGCCATAACAAAGACTACATCTGTTTCATAATATGAAATAGATGTTAAATATGAAGCATGCAAACAAACGCATCCAACGTGTCACAAATAGGTTTTTATATAAATTCCAAAAGAGTAGCAATGGATTTGCAGCTATTGTGCAGATCAACATGTGAGAGTCATAATTAGATATTTGCTTGACACAGTTGAACCATGATCTTTTGATACAGGCATCCTTACCGCCAGGTAAAACTTCCTGCTCAGCAACAGAAGAAGGAAACCTCACATATCTAGCAAAACAGGTAGGTTGCTTTGCACATCTTTTAATAAAGAAAAATGTAAGTTTGATGTGACGTTGTGACATAACCTTTCAAATGGTCATGTGATGAGTCACTGGGATCATGTGAGTCTAAGATGAAACACAATGTTGTACCAGATCCTAAAGGGTGTATGCACTATTTTGTGAGTCATCCATTAACTTTGAGGAGTTGTTATCCAGAACCACAATTGTGGTTAGTCTGTAATTGGGGTCAAATGTGTGCAGGAAATAAATTATGTTCAAATATGTATTTGTTTGCACCAAAGGACATGTTGTAGCATAGCAAGTGTCCGACGTTTACCACAAGCATGGGTATGATGCTGACAGACCTAGAAACTTAATCAGGTTTAGTCGAGATTCAGCCCCATAGTCACAGTGTTGTGGTGTGGCCAGGTGACACAACTCTGTACTGTGGTGCCTTAGACATCTTGGCTGCACATGCCTGTTGTTGTTCTGGAGGTTGGTGACATGCCCACTGTTGTTGTTCTGGAGGTTGGAGACTGTTGCCCACTGTTGTTGTTCTGGAGGTTGGAGACTGTTGCCCACTGTTGTTGTTCTGGAGGTTGGAGACTGTTGCCCACTGTTGTTGTTTTGGAGGTTGGAGACTGTTTCCCAGTTGTTCTGGAGGTTGGAGACTGTTGCCCTCTGTTGTTGTTCTGGAGGTTGGAGACTGTTGTTGTTCTGGAGGTTGGAGACTGTTGCCCACTGTTGTTGTTCTGGAGGTTGGAGACATGCCCACTGTTGTTGTTCTGGAGGTTGGAGACTGTTGCCCACTGTTGTTGTTCTGGAGGTTGGAGACTGTTGCCCACTGTTGTTGGGAACTGTTTGAATTGTCTTGACTGTTCTTGCTGTGCATTTGTGACAGGAAATTGATTAGCTCGAGGAGTCAGAGGTCCCTATTCAAGGTTAATCAACAACAATACCAAGACAAATATTTTACTTGGGTTTATCATGCTTGTGAGTTTTGTTATGGTAAATGTATTGTATGAGGAACTCACATTGTATTTAGCTAACCTTGCTTGCTAAGAACATGTATTTATCACTAATGAAGGATATCTGCCATCCAAAACACACATGCATGACTATTTATGATATAATCGTAAAATCTCTTTTTAAATTCCTCTTCAAAGCAACTTTTACTTGGTATCTTATCTCTCTCAAAGCCCGTTTTCCTGAAAGTATCACATTTATATAATAAACTGACGTACGAAAGAAAGTACACACCTGGTGCTTTTGGATTACTTTCCAAAGAGCGACGTAAATGTTTTGAAAATAGTTTTTACAGTGATATATAAGTCACAGACTTTCCTAATATGTTGCCAAAACACCACAGATATCATGCCCAATTGCGGAGTTGCCAGTCAAAATCACAACACTTTTCAAATAATCCCAAAACATCAGGTGTGTACTTTCTTTTGTACGTCAGTTTATGTGTCAGTGTCAGTGATTTGCCAGTCAGACAGAGACAGCATAATTGTTAACTCTAATTTGTATAATTCTTTTCAAATACACTACCAGCCACATCACGGCCATTATTTCCTTGCATTGACTTTGTTCTACAGTACAAAGTCATAAGATTTTCAAGACTTTCATTCATGCTGCCAGCTATCACCCAACTTATGCTGATTGAATAATTTAATTAAACACACCTCCAAGCATACACAAGGAGGGAAATGTGTCACTTCTCTTCTGTTTGTGCTAAAATGGTAGTGAAATTATTCTCACACAATTGAACAATATCCAGATTCACAGTAATCAGCTTTCGATCTTTGCACAAGAAATTTCAAATTTTCGCCAAATTATTATTATCGCTTTTGTTCATATTTTGATATGACCATTTGAACCACAGAGCGTTTGTTATTGTACGATTCCACCCACTTTCTGCCCAGCTTGTAGCCGCCAGATTGCTCTGATCCTGATTCTACCTATATCTGCCAAATGTAGGTGGGAGGTGTTGTGTACTCTGATTCTATGAAGACTTCCATTTACGACTCATTCTTCCCTGCTCCACAGCTCTCACATGCAACCAAAACCAAACACAATTAAAACACAATTATCACCTTATCCATGACTACTACAATACACTTACCGTCATGAAACACAAAACAAAATTATAAGCCGCACAACTCAACAAAAGTGCACATTTTGTCTTGGGTTTCATTTCCCAAGAAAACCAAGCAGCCGATACCCAACCCCAAGTCGAGCGGGTGGGTGCGCACCCCGGCGTAACGGCTGGTTCATTTGCAAGAGCTTCCTCACTGCTCATTGTGTGCGTAATATAGAGATGTTGGCCTTTGGTAACACAGCTCATTTTAGTATAACATTTTGCAATCAACAGACATCAAACATGTCATGTGTATACAAGTATCACCCGTCGGCCTGTGTAATTACTACAAAATGTGGCGGAGACCGAACTCAAAATATAAATCAATGCTTTGTTTATGGTGTATAGTCTGATAGTGTTAAAGTTCAATTTGCATGTGGTCAAGATTGAACTTTTGTATTGAATATTGTCACAGTGACGGGCAGGCAGACACATAGGTGCCAATAAAACAGACATTGAGTTTTGTCTGTGACAACGACATATCTATATCACAGAAATTTGTCGACGCTTAAATAATGACATTGCTTTTGGCATCAAACTGAGAAAGTGACTCGGTAAGAAGAATATGTGGTAGCCAGGACAAATGAAATTATATAAACAGTTAACTGCATCTACTGTAATAATGATGTTGCAAGCTTTATGCTTGTGGAATATCAACAAACAGTAGAAAATAGCTCACACCAAAGCCTTCAACGAATATTCACGGGACAACCCGCCCAGTTCGGCCATCCCATTTCACTGGCGCATGCTATGAGCGCAGCCCAGCTATTGAAACCACTTCAATTCCTCCGCCGCATGGAGGAGTTAGTGAATCGCTTAACTACGATTTCACGCTGGTTTTTCATCGCTATTTTTTCAACTTTATGCTGAATTTGCATTTTGATGATTTGTTTCGTAAGTCCATACTGCAAAGTTGTATGTGACCTTTAAGCTTGTAAAGAACTTATTGTAAAACTTAGTTGGAAGTTATCTGAAGCTGTCTTAAAAATGGGTATATCGAGGATTACCGACAGCTCTACAGGATGGAATCCTGCGGCAGAACTCCGCGCCTCCGCATATGTTCTGTCAATGATGAGGGGCAGCGGGTAGTCTAGTGGTTAAAGCGCTGGGTTCGTCATCAAGACCGGTTCGAATCACATGGGTACAATGAGGAAGCCCATTTCTGGTGTCCCACGCCGGATACGCTGGCTGCTAAGCGTGAAAACCAAACTCAGTCAAATCAGTCAATGATGAAATAGAGGCAGAGACACAGAATTCAAAACATGCTATATAATTGTTAACAGTTCTAAGAATATTACCTGTATTACCGGTATATTCAAAGGTACTCCCTTCCAGGTCCCTAATTATCTATGTCAAAGTGTAACATCTAGATGTTTGGGAAGAAGTGATGATTTTCTGGCCTTGTATAGATTAGCTGCAAGCTGATAGTTACATTACAAGGACAACTAAAGTACTGTCGAAATGCTAGAAAAATGCTTTTGCCCATATATCTTTTATAAAGGTAATAAATGCAATATGTTGTCATTATATCAACTCACTTATAGTAAAACGGCACTTTATTTCAATCGATTTAACATTCCCATGCATTTAAAGGGCAGTTTACAGGAGAGAATTTGGTACCAAACAACAACATAAGATTCTCTAGAGTCTCAACAACAGAACGTAGAAACAGTCTTTAAATAAATGCAAATAATACAGGTATGCAAAAAATAGAATTTAATGCTTAAACAAATAAATGTTGAATGTTGTTACTTAACTTAATTATCGCTTTCTTTATTGAGAAATATTCATAAAATGCTAAGTCTTGATAAAGCTTCCCACGCGCACATCTTATCAAGGTACGTATTCATACCAACCATTTGGTAGCTCCATTGCCAAAAGGCTTCATACGCCATTAAAAGCTTGAAAAGACAGAGGTAAACCCTTCTTTTAGTTTAGAAAGGGCTTATTACAGAACTTGTAGAGCTGTTGGTATGTCTTACCAACAAGCCGCAACACAAACAAATCAGACAAAGACAGGGACCGCCTCAAAAGCAAAACCGAAGTACAACCATGACAACTTTGACAAGGAGTACTCGAGACCCAAGGGCTACAAACTTTTGTGAAGAAGAATATATATATATTCAAAAGAAGCTACACCAGTGACTTCTCAGCAATCTTTGGCCAATGTTCACAAATAAGATTTAAAACTGACCGAATTACATTCATATATTTGCAATGAAATATACCTGCTGACATGCAAAAACATTTATTAAAAACGCTGCACATTTCCTACAATCAATCGACAAGATAACACAAGTGATAGGATTCTTCCCAATGTAATAGCACCGTATGTTTATTTAAAACAAACACACATACACAAATGATCCCTTACATAACCAATACGTGATACTCATACATGCTCATATTCAACATTTCTAGAAGATAACATCTATTGAGATGACCACCGAAGCCGCTGTGCTCAGGTGTCAATTTCACCTGTCGACACCGCGGTATTGGATGACGTGAACATTGCAAGTAGTTATTATTTAGACAAATAACGCCCCACTACCCCTTCTTATTTTTCACGCTTTTGGGTATTTTCATCAGTAAAAAAACACATTTTAGGCATGTCTCAAACTTTATTCCCCGTTCACATTAGGTAGATGTTTATTAAATTGATATTTGCTATTTACAACTGTAATAATTCTTGAATATTAAATATAAGTCAAAAAGCATTTTCTAGCATTCGACAGTGCTTGCTATGTATTGTTGACAGTGAAGAGGACATCTGTTGAAAATCTGAAAGTTATGACTGCTGCCAAATACTGGGTTTATACAGTGGATGTAATAGAGGTCATTCCTGAATTACAAACAGTACCAACTGTTGTTTTGATTTTGAATATCATTTTTTCAGTACAACATATGCAGTGATATAATTGGAACACCGCTCAGTACTCAGTCCATTTGGTATACCAAACATCTAAACCTTATATACATTTTGTGAATCAGATTTCTCATATAAATGTTGCATCAGTTTATTTCCATATGTTCTTAGGTATCTGTATGTTATCATCTCACCAAAAACTCTGTGACAAGGAGAAAGAGATTTGTGCAGATGACACCCACTTTGAAGCCCCTCATCAATTTGTGCTGTGAGTTGCTTTTCCTTCATACAAACACATGTATTTAGAAATAAGACATAGACATAACCCAGTTGTATGTGCACACTGCAACTGGTAACTAATAGAATTAGCTGTAGGCATGAAATGAATTCCCACAATGTGGGTATCTCTAGTCTTTTACATCCTGCGTTTAATGTGTTTTCAAGGTCATTACACATACTGTAAACAATGGTACTCTGACATCTTGTAGTTTATTGTCGTAAGGTTCACTGTAATACAAAGAATGTGTGCACAGAATGACATTAATCATATCTAAATGTCCTGTAATTTATTGTAATTTAATACTTGATATAGTGCTTCAGTACTGGTTACCATATCAAGTTTGGCAACTCTTTGTTTACAGTCTACCTGTTTTCGTGGTTGTCTTTGTCAACTAACATAATAGTATTGTTAAACTTCAAGGGCTGGTCTTCAGAACTCATATATTTTATGATCTACAACATCAAGATTTTCTTTGCCGTAGTAAAATTTAGCTATTAATGTCAACATAGTTGTTTGGTGGCAGTACTAAATTAACTTTATATGTAAGGTTGTAATATGTTTAATGTTTAATGGTTCCTCAATTTCACAAGGACTCCGCTCACATTGCCATGCTCTAATGTCATTATTATGTGTTTTGTTGTTATGTAGGAGAACTATATGACCATGATGCAGCATCACTAACCTGCAAGTCATTAAATATGTAAGTATTCAAATGCATTTGAAGAAATACCAATTTATTTCAAACTTATCAAAGGCATAATTAAACATGTTTTGAACACCAGTAACTCTTTGCATGGATTGAATTCTGTATTGATGTCAATTTTCAATGTTTATACAGTATTTGTACCATGGATGGTGACGCTTGTGCTTTTTGATAACAGCCATTACTGTAATGATAGGTTTACAATGGAAAATAACATAGCTTAAGTATGTCAATTTCTTGCTTATTAGCCTGTTTGCCCCTTTTATCTGGTTGCCATGTGTGGAAGGAACGGTAAAATGCCTTAAACTTAGCAGTGGGAGGTAAATAGTAGTCACCCATCATTCCTGTTGTTCTGTTTCATTTGTAGATTTAGGTAGACTTCTTATGTCGTGCCTTTGGTCTTGTTTGTGTTGGATTAACTGTCACTTATATCATGACTGATGTGTATGATTTTATGCAGGACTTTCAAATAATAAATAGTGTTGAAAATGAATGTCAATAGCCACCCAGTAGTTTTGGACTTGTTGCACGTAACATCTTAACTCTAGCCACAACGCTTTAGCAGTCTACAATTAATTTTGTGCAGCCAACAGAGCTGGTGACTCTAGGTTCATAACATGAATAAATATATACATATCTGAATGCAGTCAGTCGATAGTACTTCTCTGGCTATACTTGTATATTATATACAGTGTTATAGATATTTGATATATTTATCTTCATATTTTTGTTTGGCAGTTGAGCAACGAACACAGGCACAGAAAGCATTTTTACTCATTGTTGTCAAAGAAACAAATGAACTTTTCTGTCAGGTAAGGATAAGCTTTGTATCATACTAAATCAGGTGATCGAATTCATTAGACAAATCCTGCATATTCTACAAAATGTTTTCTATTTCTTATGTTGAAATGAACATGACATAAGTTATCAGATCATAACAGACATGAAACTGTTACATGAATTGTGAAATTAAACTTTGTCATAACTGGCCACAAGGGATGATAACCCCAATGATGCTTGTGTACTTTGTCTCAAAGACTCTGCCTTTGTAGTATAGTACGATATCGGGTGTAAAATGCAACACAGAATGTAATGACATTTTTCATAATGCCAACACCACATTGATTTCTTCTTGGTTGGCCCCTACTCTGAAAATCCAAATTCTCTACAGTATATGGATCTGATTGAATTATTTCTGTTATCTTGTGGTAGAAAATGCCAAAGGCGCAATCATTGATTGGGTCTGTATTTCCAGGAATAGCCCCCATAATTTTGCTTTGTAAACAGCCCTGCCTTCTGGAGTGCTTTGGCTAGTATATCCTCTCCTCCTTATGATGAGCTTCGCTTTTCCACAGCTTGATGGCTTTATGTGTATGTTATTGATAAGTGTGCTAGGCAACAGGTAAATATTCACTACTACACTGACCACTGGCCTAATGTCATTGCATTTGCAAGTATATTTCAATATCTGTCTTGTTATGTTTCATGTATGATTGACATTGACAATTTATGACACTAGCTTATCGCAGGCTTGCTGTTTCATTAGTGGATATGCTCAGGTTATGTGTCAGTTGAAGGTGGAATTGACAAGTAACATGTAATACATGGATGCCTGATGTTGCCATTATTGCCCACTGCTGCTCAACAGTAGTGCAGGGGAAGGAACAGTGGTCACATGTCAGTAGTACTATACAGCAAGCTCTGTCATGGCCATTCGACAGCCAACATAAGAGACATCAAAGACTGAACTCTGTGTGCATTACCGCATTCAACTCCCATGACATTTGACAACAAAGCCTGCTTTCTTCCTCATTTCTATATATTCAGTCCTTAATTATCAAAGATTTTTTGTTTAAAGTATTAAAAATGCCTCCCTTTAAAAATGAAATGTTACCTTAATGGCTTGATTTGAATATTTTGATCTTGGCCTTGTATAAAATGAAAGTAAGGCCTCGAAGCTGATGCTGTTTGTGTGGTGTTGTCAGCATATCAGCTGATTAATGGCCTGGTTTGACTTCCGTATTGATGGTTAGAAAAATGGTAGAAGGTTTATTAAGATCTAGTCTTAAGCAGTAGAATGTCTCGTTACAAGTATCTATCATTGCTCAGTTGAATGTTTGATTGTGCCCTTGTTGTTCACTCCGCTAGTACTGATAATGGATTCTGCATCACAATGTATTGTGTTTATATTCATTTGCTTACCATTTGCAAGGTAGTTAAAACAGCATGAGCGCAAGAAATTCGCCTAGTAAGTAGTAGAAAGCTGTCTTCATGTTGTTGGAATAAGTTACAATGTGTTATGACTTTGCATACAGGAACCCTCTACATCATATTTCCTCACCTGCATGTGAGAAGCCAGCCTTGGCAGTAATAAGACTTTGAAACAGCAATAAGTTCTCTGAAACGTTCAACTTTCTCAATGTGTTGATGAGCAAAATTTTGGAATTGAAACAACAGTGATAAATGCACAAATGTTTCCATTCAAGGATTGGTTGAAGAGGTTTAGGCGATATCCTCATTAAGCAACACTGGTGTAACTCTATTTCGACTCTAGTTCTGCAGCTTCCAATTCTTAGTATAATTTGCATGCCAAACTGTGAAAGAAGTACAATGCAAACATTTTACTTACACGCTCATAACAAATACCTTTGATTTGGAAACTTCAATTTTCACCAACATCCCTTTAGCCATGCATTTGAGACCACAGTGACCACCTGAATAATCTTTTCTGCTTGCCTACGGGTACCGTGTAAAAGTATCACCGTCTCTACATGAATTATTTCACGGGCAAGAGCCGGGTCAAACCGTTTATCATCAAGTTCACCCATATTTGCAACCGCCCATTTACCGGTCCAGATAAATACATATTAACCTACTTTTGATGAATTGAAGACATGTGTACAATATGCTATCAAAAAACTTCTTGGACAAGGTCAGAACATTGATTCCTTTGAATACACTACTGCATCAAAGCCATCACACTCAAAGAATCTAAAAGATTTCAACATACTAAATGCATCTCTCATCACAATTTAAGACAGGATATTCACACAAAACATTTTCTGTAAATGGGCAGGCTGGTGCGCGCTAGCTTCTTTCAGGAAAGCAAGTCTTCACAAAACTCAAGCTGATAGTTCGCCTCAGGAAAAAGTTATATGCTTAAATTTTCAAATTTCACTTATATTGGACATTATTATTTTTGCTCTATATTTGAAGGATCAACGTAAGTAATGTTCGAGTGTATTGGGATTTCATACAGCAGAATCAATCAGTCATCACAGAACTCAAGGTAGTCATTTGTTATCTTCTATGAAAAGGGATACTTCTTCCATAGCTCTTCACTCTTTCATACATGGATTTCAACCCCTGTGATCATGTTGGCTCATCTATATCCAGCAAGACCCTCTATTACACAGAAGAAGATTTTCCTATCAAAACAGAAACTAACTCTATTCAGTTGAAGTTAGTTTTCGCCACACTTTCATCAAATCAAAATTGACAAAGGTACAGGATACTCGATATATTCTCAAAAAGCTGATTCCTACTTTACCTACCATTTTCTTCCTCTACTGTTCATAAACCAGCAGTATGATTTTGAAGATCAAAATCTACCCAACAGACATTACAGGACATGGAATCAAAGACAATGAGTTGGTGCAATGAGACAACGCTTCTGTGGTAGCATAATGCCCAGAAGCAGGGAGGAACGCGGGCCAGTGAATTCTAATGACGGATGTTATGCATTTGATCAAATTGGCACACTTGGCCTACCGCAGACTTGCCACATTTTGGGAAATTCTGCCCGCGCAGATTTCAACGTAGGGCTCATAGAAGTGTTCCACCAGAAGAAATCGCCACACTTCTCATATAGGTCACTTCTTACCTGCCTAAACCACACTGCCAGTTTACAATCAAGGTCTGTCCATGAGTTGAAGTGTACTTTTGGCCTATGGGAGCCGTGGGATAGCCTAGTTGTTAAGGCGCTCACCACACGCCTGAAGATCTGCTTATTCCCCACACATGGGCACAATGTGTGAAACCCATTTTCGTGTCCCCCGTGATATTAAGGAATATTGCTAAAAGTGGCGTAAAACTAAACTCACTCACTCACTTTGGCCTATGCATTCCTTCCTTGGTCCCTGTGAGAGAGCTATCAAGACCAGGCATCTCCTGTTTACATCAGATAATACCAATCAGAGTCGGATTATAGGAATGAAAGTTATGTGATGCTACTTGCGTTGTCCAAACATTTTATCAACAGCCCTAAGTTGGAGTGTTGTTTTTGCCAAGTGGATAAATATAGGTGCACTTTGGACTGAGATTAGTCCCCAAATCCAATATGTCAGAGGTAGACACTAAGCTCATTTGAATACAAAGACCACATTCTTCCCACACAGCTGTTGTTGATTACATATGCCTCTTCAGAACCTAGATAGTCAGTGATATTACATTTGAAGTGGAAGAACAGAAAAAAATGTGCTCAAAGGTGATGTTCCAAACTACCTTTTACTTTATGAGTGTCATTAGTTTCTTGCCCTGGTTGATCGATCTGGTGAATCTCATTTTATCCACTTGGGACGATGATGCCAGAACACTGAAGACTGCACTGTCTTACACAGAGACAAGTGGGTCCCCAGAGCTTGACAGCATTAAGTCATTCTCTTTCTTCCTGCTGCCTTTATATCTCTTTATCCAGTTAAGTCACCTTTTAAGCTGCTTAAGCCGGACTGCTTTGTGTTGAGAAGTACAATTGTTGTACTGCTAGAGATATAAACCAATTGACACTGGCCATAATGTCTCAACATTGTAGCTGTCATATACCGCTTAGGTACAGCTTGGTTGACAATCACAGTAAAACACAGACCTTGATTATCTCAAGAACATGTCAAGACTGAGAACGATGAGATAGTGTCCTGCACCTCATGCTGGGAATGTAAAGACAAAAAGCAGCACCACATT